CACAGTTGGCGTTGACCCTCCAAAGTCTGCCTTCATTTTCCCCACCGCTGAGAACCAATTGTACTCCACTGAGCAATGCCCAGTTCACGCTTGGCCCATTTAGCATGCAAGAAAGTGTTCTTGTCGAAAGCGGTGGGAAGCAGTCGGCATTTGTCTCGACTAAAACGGTGTGAACAAATACAAGCCATTGGTTTTCTCGTTTCGAACACAGCCTGAAGATATTCGGGTTCCCTTATAATTGCATGTGTTGCTCAATTAAAGATTCTCATTCACCGGCTGTGTCGCCGTGCACATGCATATACGGACAAGCAGCTGTGATGGGTAAACATCATGATGGGCTCCTTTCCACGGTTCTGCCTCTATTGATCTATCAAAGCACACTTAGTCCGTACTTACATGGTGCCAAAGAATTTCACCCGTCAGTCGATCCTTTGCACACAGTTTCTTTTATTTCTCTCAAAGTGGAATAAAGACCCAACACTTTGACGTCATTTCTTCTCATTCTTCCAACATCTATTTTCTTCTCCGTATTCCGACAACACGACTCGGTACGAATCGATTCGGGCCTTTGCACTTTCAAGCGTCGATCAGAGTGTGCTTGAATGAATAAAGACGCCGGGCTATAGAGAAGCGATATGCAAATGAGAAGCGAACAGTCACGTCTCATGTTACAGAAAGGTAAAATCCAGTGTGATCCGGTATGGTCAAAAAAGTCGGTATGTGTGAGGAGGCAGACAATTCATTCGCCTTCCCATCAGCCTGTCATTTCCGGCTGGCGCCAGCAACATATACATTCCAAATAACGGTTCCTTAGATGATATAAAACATGTTCACTGGAAAAAAAAAAAAAAACACTCGCAGGTGGATGCGCCTCTGAAATCAATAATGGAAATAATAAATCACAGTCAGCAGCCAATTCTTCGATAATGGCCAGTCCCCCCAAAAAAACTTTTTTGGGCCCACAGAGGAGAGATAACATTAAAGCATATTAAGAAAATGCTTTTAAGTGCACAATTTGCGTGATTGTGGTTTGACTATGTTTGTCCATCATCGTTTTCATCATGAAGTGTCCCATTGTAGAACGGAGTGTGATTTTCGGTCTCGTCAATGACGTCTCATCCTTCTTTCCCTCCCTCATTCGTTGATAGTCATGTGTAAAAATCTAGTGAAACGTGGACTGAGGTTGATGACATTTTCATAGCGGCAGTATCTCACTGGTTGTTTACAAGCCAGCCATTACCTCACTGCCTCCATCCTTTGGATTACCGGTCGTCTAGAAAATTAAATGACACTTGCCTCTTGAAATATTTTAAAATCAGGTAGTTAAATATTTGTATTCGTGAGAAAATATGAAATTCTCTTTTTTTTTTTTTTTCTATGGCCCATTGCACTTGAATAGTTCTCTCCGTGTACAAATCTGGAAAGTGTTTCTTCAATAGGGAATGCAAACAAAACTGCTGGCTGACGCTCAAATAGCCTGCTGCACAATCCAATTTGAGTTGAAGTAGGCTAACATGCAATAGGGGCCTTCCACTTTTTGACCCATGCGTCAGGGCAAGAGTCAAGGACAATCTGGTATTTGTCCCTGAGCGCTGACATTTGTCTGTCCACCACTTGCTCCCAAACCACAAACGCTTCGTAATGCTCACCCTGGCTTTTAAAGTACTTTGTAAGTCTTTTGTGAGTACCCCCTTGAGAAATAAGATGATTTATTCAAGACGGTGCATGATATGCTGCTTGATGCGGTTCCTTGCTGAGCAGTATAAGTGCCCAAAAAAAAAAAAAAAAAGAAGGACAAGATTTGAACAAATCTGCAGGCAAATAGAGGTTTTGTATACATGTCACTGTCACGAGTCAGAAGTGTCTTTATTTTAAGAAATTATATGCCGCTGGCTGAGATATGGTGCCATCCAAAAGTATTGGAACGGCAAGGTCATTTCTTTTGTTTTTGAGTGAGATCGAAAGATGAAAATAAGACAAATGTTCCGAGTTCCAGCTTTGATTTCATGGTCTTTTTTTGTGTGTGTTTGTGTGAATTTCATGGTTGCTGTCATTTATAGATTCTTTATTAAAGAAAGGTTGCTGTCATTTATAGATTCTTTATTGAAGAAAGTGCATGATATTGCTCAACTGTATCTGGCTGGAGTCAGAAAGAAAAAGGAAGACATCATTCAAAGAAGTTATGTTGGCTGGTTTCACCTCAATGCCAGACGTGCTGCCATTATGGAAATAATCCTTATTTTCCCAGACAGTGCTTGGTGTGCGGCTTGATGCTATGCCTGGTTAAATTTAGGAAGGAAAAAAAAGAATAAAGACATTGGACACAAAATTTGCTCCAATCTGCGGACATTTAGAAGCACTTTGTTGGCATGATGATTTATAATAATAATAATAATAATAACAATACATTTCATTTATGAGCGCCTTTCAAAACACTCAAGGGCACATTACAATAATTTCATGTCGCAATGGTTCAAACACGAGGGCAGCATGGCTATGTTGGATGCCAATGTTATGATCACTTTTGGGGTATATTTTGTTTTGTTTTCTTTTTCTTATGTCTGTTATATTTGGAAATTGTGTTTGCTGGGATTCAGATGTTTCGACCAAAAACTTCTCTCCTGAATCTATGACTGCACTTACAAAAACCTGGTTTGATCCATACATATTTTTGTTCCAAACGCAAATATCACACTCCATTAAGTTCTGTTTTTGTTTTTTTGTTGTTAACTAAAATGGTTGCCAGTAGACCTCAGCAGAGGCTGAACACCCTCATCTGGGAGAAGGACCAAAGTGTACACCTTCATAGCTTTTTCCCATGAAGATGCAGTCATTATGCACCGCGTCTGTAGGTGGAAGGAACAAAAACAAAAGACAGGCTTCACCCCTCACAACCGATGCAAGTAATTGTTGCCTGCTGACAGACCAACAATAACACGGTAATTTATCACAGTTGATGACATTGGTCCACGGCTCTGTCTGCTGTGTCTAATTTTGCTCACCGAGCATACAACCATCCTTGCTTATCTTGGCAATCTGCGGCCTCACTGGGTGATTGGCAGCTCGTCAACTGCAAGATGGCACATAGGGCCTGCCGGGGCTGCACCTGAATGTTGGGGCTTGTGATTTCTGACACCTCCATCCGATAGGCTTCAGGAAATGTTAATCCCCCCCGGTTCCTCCTCTCCTCCGCCCCCAATAATCCCGTCCCGTTCTCGTCTCTATATGTCCGCCTGTCCCGTGTCGACCCTTCCCTCCGGTGGAAGGGGAACAGCGCATGCCTGGCAAAAGCACCGAAAAAGATACTTTTATTTTCCCTCTGCTTCCTGCCAGTTTATTTGTCTGTTTATCAGTATTTTTTATGAGCTCAGTGTCCTTGTTTTGTTTGCCTCATTTTAACATTCTAGTTTTATAATTCAAGCCGAGCAGTATTCATATTTGTTATTCATATGATGATCCATGTTTATAAAAATATGGGCCAGCGCGAATTGATGCCGCCATTTTATTTCTTTTTTTTTTTTGCTACGCCACCAGAATAATTGAAGTTAATAAAGTATTTGACAGGTGAGCAGCAGAATTTCGACCCAGAAGCAGATATGGAAATTACAAAGTAAAAGTCTGATTCAACGAAAATACCAAGTAACTACAGAGATCAGGGCTGGAAGCAGAAGACACGGAAGGAAGGTGACACTCTGACTGGGAGAAAGCTCGACGTGCTGACAACGTGTCACCGAGTAATCCGAGTTTATATACTGTCAAACATCAGGCATAGATGACATAATAAAGGTGACATTAATACAGGACAAAGCATCAAGGACTGCAGCAACTGCGTAGCAACTGCAAAGCAACTGATACGTCACGGAACAACCAGTGGCAACAACATTTTGATTTAGACTGAGAGTCAACAAACAACATGATTGGTGCACATTTTAACCCTTTCATTGCGGAGTGGTTCATACAAGTGCATCCCTTTCGCAGACCGGCAACCATTCACTGACAGGTGTGGCGGTGGGTGCTTACTGGATTAGTGTACTTTTGCCCAATTTTTTTATTCTTTCACCTATACGGCCCGCCGCGGACCGGCCGAAAGTGGCCGCAGACTGGCGGTGGTTCGGGACCACTGCCCTTAGGGCTACGTGAGAACATGAAATCATTTATTTCCCGGATGAATTACCTTTGGCCCGCGAAAATCACCAACGCTGCGTCTTGACTCAAATGTCTCATTAAAGCTCAGATGGCTGACGAAAAGAAAGTAAAGGTGGCTCTGAATAGATTTTTTTTTCAGTTTTTTTTTCCCCTGAGATGTAAAGTTTAAATGCTTGTTTCAAGACAACTTGTCCAAAGGCGCTCCATATAACAGTTTTTCTGTTGTTAGCTTGAATAATCATTTTTATATTTGTATTACTTAATTTATTTTCATGGCGACATATTTATTTTTGTTTGACTTGAGGTGAAAAAAAGCCAAAGGATTAGATGTTTGAATTGCAAAACAAAACAATTTTCATTGAACAATGAGTTGTGTTAGGTTCTACTGTATTTTTGGATCATCTTTACATGTCTTAGTCAGGAGGTTCTCTTGGTATGACCAAAATGTTTGGGGTGTACACAAGCCAGGAAAGGTTGGCAACCATTGCTTTCGGTGGTCAGAATGTGCATAAAAATAAACTGGAACAATAAGCAAAACTAACAAAAGAAAAAAGTCATCCAGTAATTGCATTGTACATCATTATTTTAGCTGCATTATCGCACTAATGGCAAACATTTTTTCTTAACAAGTGTGCGCAAATGGTCTTCATACTTAACAATAATTATTTTTATCTTTTTTTGTTTTTGGATTTTTTTTTTTTTTTGCTCTTGTTAGGACTTAAAGGGGCCCTGAAAGAAAAAAGGTTCCACAATCACATGAGTGAATCACTTGAATGCTCTTCGTGTTGTCAAACTGGCAAAGGCAAAGCTTTGGGTATGCTACAATCTGATCATGATGTCATTTTGCCCCGCAGGAGTTCTCCATGCTACGACTGGACGACGTGGCTGATCAGTGGGTCAACATCGTCGGTTTTTCAGTTTTCAACCAAACGCATCCATTCTTTGAGGATTTTGCGCTAAGCCTCAACCGCTCCTGGCAAGAGAACTGTGAACATGCTCCCTTTGAGGGCACCCCGGTTAGTCCGCACAAACACGCACACAAAACCCCCCCCCCCCACCCCACCCACACACACACACACATTTCATTTATTTATTTCATTCGTGAAGATACATTCACATAGATGTATTTCTTTAAAAAGGCCAAACAGACCTTTAAATGCTGAATGCATCTGCAACTCAAAAGTCCCCATTCCGAAGCACACACACATCAAAAACAACCGCCAAATTATACAAGTATGACATTTATCCAGTTAAGTGCTGAAATTGTAGCGGACATCCGAGCGGGTTGTTTTCGTGGCAGCGCCTCATTAAATCTATTACAGTCTCTTTCATTCACTTTGAGGAATTACACAAACTGCAAAGTGTTGCCAGCTCACAGCCCGATATTTAAAAAAACAAAGTACAAAAATTACGTGGTTCTCTGTGTGTCTTACATACAATTCATTGTGTTATGTAGTCATACCTCGGTTTTCGACCATAATCCGTTCCAGAAGGCTGTTCGAAAACCGATTTGTTCGAAAACCGAAACCACACTCTTTTTTTAAAAAAACAATCTTTATTGAAGACGTCTGCTCACAATGGAAGGCTACACGAGGAAGCGTCACTTCCTCGTCTACCTGAGAATGCGTCACTTCCTCATGTAAGGAAGGCAAGAGGAGTCAAGTGGCGCATTTAAGTGCGCCCAGTTTGGTCGAGAACCGATTTTCGGTCGTAATCCGAGGCATAAAAAAACTCGAAATTTTTGGTCGAAAACCGATTTGGTCGAGAACAGAGACGTTTGAAAACCGAGGTTTGACTGTACTATGTTCGTATATCTGAAAAGATTTCATATTGAGATGTATTGTTTCTTCCGGCGCTTTCATGAAGCAAATCACATGGTTTCTGCTGTTTAGACTGTCAAGTACCTAGTTGGAAGCCAATAGAACAGTCGATTAATGAGCAAATCTGTACTTGAACTGAATGAATGCCGACGACGTGAGACTGCTCAACAATTTGCCCCCCTCTGTTGTGCACAAGCTGGCTGCTGAAAGAAGCCAATAAGCATTAGAACGCAGCATGATAAAAAGCTGTACAGTTGCTCTCACAGCAGGTTGCTTGAATACTTCTCAGCTCGCAGAAATACGCCTTTATGACTAATTAGCTTAAAGTTAAAAGAATAAAAGGCTGATGGCACTTTAGCAAGATTAAGTTATTTAGCCCCTCAAAGAAGTGATCTGCTGTCTTTGACGCTAACGTGGTCTGACGTACAAGGGTTCCCGCAGGGCTCACGTGGTACAGCAACTGCATGACAATGTCTTCCTAGCCAGGGGTGTCCAAATTCCAGGCCCCAGGTAATTTCTGGCATGAAAGGTTTCGGTGTCGAAAAAGTGTCAAAATCCAAACTATTTTCCATCTTTTACAGAAAGCTGTGATGTAGCACTTTTCAAAATACAGTGGTACCTCTACTTACGAACGTCTCTTCATACAAAATTTTCAAGTTACAAAACGCCTCAACCGGAAAATATTGCCTCTTGTTACGAAAGAAATTTCAAGATACGAAAGGTAAAAATACAGTACGGGCTGCTATTCGCAGCTCCAAGTTTCATGAACGCAACATACTCAGAGCTGCTCTGCCATTGGCTACTACCGAGCATCATCACTAGCTAAGAGGGACCTCTGCCGTATGTGTCTATGTATGTAGATAGATAGATATGTGTCATTGCAGTGTCCTCGTCATTCGCCCCTCGGGCCATAAGGTGTTCTGATAGTTTTACGTAAATGTGAATCACCCAGAAAAAGTGCTCACCAGTCGGGCGATCGCTCACTATGCTGTTTGCCTTGGACATTTTCGAAGGATTGTTAAAAGCCGACAAAAGCAAACGTCCAATTGTAACATGTTTTTGTTATATATTTTGATGCATTTTGTGCTTTAGAAAACATTTATGTCAGAATTTTGGGGCGGCTCAGAACGGATTAGGGCATTTACATGGAAAACGCGTCTCTCCTTACAAAACTTTCTCCCAGAACATATTAATTTCGTAAGTAGAGGTACCACTGTACTGTAGCTATAAAATGTATAAAAACAATAGCTTGAATATGCCTCAGGGATTGATGTTAGCATAAAGGTGAAGAATGTCAAAGTGGCCATTGCATCTCTCAATGATTCTATTTGCGGCTCTCGGAGGAAAAACTCTGGACACCTCTGGTGTAAGACACTGAATGGCAACTGCTCATCTTTCACTCAAAGTTTGCGCTCTCTGAGTTTGAGCAGTTGGTGTGTGTGCATGCATAATACATCCACCTTCCTCTCTATCTCCCCCTCGTTCTTGCGCAGCTCTCCTCAGCTCTTTTCTTTGATGCGGTATATGCGGTGGTGGCAGCGGTCCAGGAGCTGAATCGTAGCCAAAATGTAGGCGCCACTCAGCTCTCTTGCAAGTCCTCCAAAATCTGGGAGCACGGCACCAGTCTCATGAATTACCTGAGGATGGTAAGTTGGCCTCGGCAGGACTTCATAAAAAAGATCATAATAATTCAACGTGCCTTTATGTAAATGTTCATTATTTTGGCAGGGGGAGATATTTGTATGCCCATATAAATCAGGACTGAGGCCTATAGCGATACCCAGATGCCCTTGGAAGCTTTCCGAAGGGGTCAAATCCAAATGGAGAATATTTTATTCATGATTTTTTAATTTTATTTTATTTATTTTTATTTATTTATTTTTTTACCCAAAATAAATTACAAAACAAATTATTGTTACTTGGTCTCAACATTGTATTAAAAATATCATTTAAATTCAATTTATTGGAAAATTGAAAAAATGATTAACTTTGTATATTAAGAATGATTAGATGCACTTTAATCTACAGTAAATCTATATTGACACAGAAATTATAGTTACAAACAAGAAACGTTTTTTTTCCTCTTGCATTTGTAAAAATAATGTAAAAATGACATTTTGAATGAAAAATAGTGAATGGCAAAATTCCTGCCAAAATAAAATTGCAACAACTAAAAAAATAGTCATACTTTTTTCCCAAGGAAAACCAAAATTGCAGTGATGCCTTGCATCATTACTAAAACAATGTCATAAAAAATGTTAACATTTTTTCTCTACTTTTCTCATCCTAAAATTGAAATCTTTTATATTTTGTTTTCATTAACAGTGTCACTTTTGTCTTCGTGAAATGTTTGTCATACAATTTAGAATTCCAAATTCTAGTAGAAAATGTTATATATATATATATTATATATATATATATATATATATATATATATATATATTGTATATACAATAATGTCATACTTGTGAGCACCAAAACTATGAATTATTCTTTTTTATTATTTTCTTTTAATTAATGAATTTTAAAAGACTGGTCCTCATCCAATAAGGCAGTGGAGAGAGGGTCAATGAATACAATTTTGTTCAGTTAAACATAATGACTGCTGTGTTATTGTTTGCCAACAGAGATTAATTAGAGCTCAACAAATGGGTTTCACCTTATTTTACATTTAACTGAAGGGGAGGAAAAAAAAAGAAGATAGAAGAGCGAGTGGTGTCCCCTCCAGTGATTCATATAATAATTGCTGATAAGGGCAAAGTGAGCTGGAGCCGGTGGAGAAGTTTTGAATGTGCTGTTTCTTTGTTGGACAGGTAGAGCTGGAGGGTTTAACAGGCCACATTGAATTCAACAGCAAAGGCCAGCGCTCCAACTACGCCCTTCGGATCATGCAGAGTGGCAAGGATGGCCTAAGGCAGGTAAAGTGACCCCCCCCCCCAACCACCACCACCACAAGTCTTATCAAACAGATGTCATGGCATCTCCATAACATTCTCACGCGACTTCAATTCACATTTGTATTGTTGTACTCTACTGGATACCATTTTCCACTAATAGTGGCTTGGGGTCGTTATTGATTGCAGATGGGACTTGGTGTGTACTTGGGTGATGTTTTTGTTTGTATTCGTTGTATGAATATGTTCAAATCTGTCCCTGATATACAGCATGGCTTTGACTTATGAGTTGTATGCTTTTCTGTTTGTTTTGCTGCTGCTTGTGTTTGAGTTGGAAGTTGTTTCAAGCTTTATGATTGCTTCAACATCAATGCGAGTGTTGTTCGCCAGTCGATGGTGTGTTACATTATGATTGTCAGTGCTTGTCTGACTACATGGCCCTGCCTTTTGGCCAGAGTCGGCTGGGTCACCTCCTCTATTGGAGGAACATTTGTGGACATAGAAGAACATAATCATGCAATCACTGGCACATTAGTGTGTCGTAAGGGATCACCAGCTCAGCCGCAAGAAATGACGAATGTATTCATTATTTTGTATTTAATAAATCACTTAATTTGTCAGAAAATTATTTTCACTTTATTATTGCTTGGGCGGCCCGATGGTTGAGTGGTTAGCGCATTGACCTCACAGTGCAGAGGTACCGGGTTCGATTCCAGCTCCGGTCTTGCTGTGTGGAGTTTGCATGTTCTCCCCGTGCCTGCGTTGGTTTTCTCCGGGTACTCCGCTTTCCTCCCACATTCCAAAAACATGCATGGCAGGTTGATTGAACACTCAAAGAAATTGTCCATGGTGTGAGTGCGGATGGTTGTTCGTCTCTGTGTGCCCTGCGATTGGCTGGCAACCGGTTCAGTCCTGACTACTGCCCAAAGACAGCTGGGAGAGGCTCCAGAAACCCCCCGCGACTGTTTTGAGGAAACGGTTCAGAAAACAAATGCATGTATGGATGGATTATTATCGCTTTGCAAAAATGACACAGAATGACTTTTTTTTTTTAAATTGAGCTCGACAAGATGATCTCGGGGATTATTACCGCTTTGCAAAAATGACACAGAATGACTTCTTTTTTTTTAAATTGAGCTCGACAAGATGATCTCGGTGTCTTTATTTTCAGTTCCTGCGGCAATTTCAATTTGACATGGGACCATCAAGATATTTTTTGTGACATGTTGTGCCTTGACATTTTTCGACGATAAAAATGTTTGCGACGGGAAACGCCAACTTAGTCATTTAAATGGTAATCATGTTGGTGACATCGATCAAAAGTAACACAACTAAATGCAAAATGGCGCATGCTAATGTGTGGCAAAATTTTACGATAAAAATGTTTGCGACGGGAAACGCGAACTTTCTGTCATTTAAATGGTAATCGTGTTGGTGACATCGGTCAAAACTAACACAACTAAATGCAAAATGGCGCATGCTAATGTGTGGCAAAATTACAGCATGTCAATATTGCGTCGTTGCACCAAAGCGGGTTCTTGGGAAGAAATATTCTGTTTTGGTGGCTTTTCTTTTCTTATTGAATAATGGGCCTCCTCCTCCTCATATACTGTAAAGCATTTATTTCACAGGACACAAAACACATCATCACATAACACAGAGGCCCCTTCAGCATCCTGCCAGTCACCATCTCGGACGCGTCGACATATTTACAGATGGGATTTGCCCGGATGCAGGTGAGCCACCAAAGTGAAACGGTCCAGTCGTTCCGTCGTATTTCATTCCACACACTTTGCAGCAGTCGTAAGACTTTTTGTGATGTTATGAAAACATTCTTGGGAACACTTTGAAATGAGACAACACCCTAAAATCCTAGACAGGCTGGGGAGGATCAGTTTTGGGGAGAAGCCATTGCTCAATTCTCTCCCATCCATCAACACCTTTTTAAAATGCACCGCTGGAGCCCCGGCAGTCACAGGCAGCTGAAATCTGAGGACGTAAATCAAGGGTGTATGCGAATAACGGATGGAAGCAAAACTGGGACGTGAGATAGAACTCAGCTCTAGAATAACTATGTGGCATCAAGTAAATGTGGTGGAAGGCGATCACAATGAAGGATCGTTAATGGAAGTTAATGAGGTCGCTTCAGGTTGTACTGTATTTTGCTTCACATGAAAGATCATCCTTAAATATGTTCAATCATGTCGCTGATGTTGTTGTTTGGGCTTGTCACATCAAGTAGTCACCGGCATGATTTGTCTTGGACTGTTTTTCAGATCAGATTCCTTTCCTGATGAAACCCACCCATGTTTTACTTGGGCTTGGTCCAGACAGACTGACTTTGGGGGAAAATATTCGATCCACTTGGGGTTGTGCATCGTTTCAATTGGAATGATTTCCGTTCCAATTTCGGTTCCTGGATTCGGTTCTGGTTGCTAACGATTCTCAAGACTGTTTTTATTGGTTTACTCATCCAATTTTGTTTGTTAGGGTGGTACTAGGTTGAGAAGTGGAGCTGTAGTTAGGGAATCTGTCAATTCTATTCTTTAAAGTAGGAGGTGCTTTATCGTATTTGAATTGTAACCTGTTCTCCACGACATTATTTCATGACATGTTACACTGAGCAGAACTGTAACTCAAAACGCACATCTCTAAAATCATTTTTCTCCACTGAAAAGAATTAAACATTCCAGTGCGCCCCCCACCCCCCCCCAAAAAAAACAACAGTTTTGGTAACCTGTTCTTTAATAAGAAAAATAGCATTTTTTAGAAATGCTAGTGCGATAAATGTTAAATAATATAAAGAAAAAGACCGTATTTGTGTGACTGGATCGGGTTATGGGCAAACTGTATACTTGAGCTTGTGTAAGCACCTTCTGTTGATGTGTTTGCACACACGCACGCACGCACGCACGCACGCACGCACGCACACACACACACACACACACACACACACACACACACACACACACACACACACTGTCGAGAAAGCCAATCGTCTTAGTTTCCTTTTTCCAGCACATTTGAATAGTTTCGTAATTCTTCCTCTTTCAGAGTAGAAGTACATCTTACATGCTTCTGTTTGAATGGGATAATAAGCGATTACGGCTGTCTTCTATTCTTACACAAGAGTGTCAGAGATTATGATAAATAGCAGCATTTGAAGTGCTCCGGTCAAAGCTAAGACGAAACAGCACTTTTCATTTTAAAGCCTGATGCTTGATGAGTTTAAGCCTGTCTTTTTTTGTTATTTTAGAACGAATTATCTAACATTTCACCTGTCTTGTATAGCATGTGAGGTGGCTGTTATCATTGTTAAGGGGAAGGCTTGCTGCTTGAGTGTGTCCAAAATGTTACTGAATCAGACGCCAGCTCGTCTGCCGTTATTATTACCCTTGTCTGAGTCTCCGTGCGTGCCCTCTCTTTAATCTGGCATCAGTCCAGTCTAACATAAGGCGAATGTCATGGTGTCTAATGCGATGATTTCAAGCAAAAGTCTGTTTCGTTCATGTGGAAAGGCAGGGCGTTTCACGTGGGGAGGGGAGGTTGCCAGCATGGGGTGTTGTTTGTTTTTGTTAACCAACACCTCATGTACCACATATTGATGCCTTTGGGCTCTCTGGGCCAAAAAAAAACTGGAAGGTGTGAGGACCTTGGCAGAGATAAAGAAAGTTGTCTCAATTGCCACACCCCCAAACTCATTCCCGCCAGCCAAATCCACCCCCCCCCACACACACATACATAAATACAAAATACAGTATAATTGTAAGCCTAAGTGTACTACAGCGGAACCTCTCAAGCCGACCGCTCCTAAAGTTGAACAATTTTGAAATGAATTCCAATCAAGAACGCGACAGAGAAGACTTTGGCTCTGTGAACGTCTAAAGGAGTGTGTTTTTACATCATCCCTAACTAACCACATCAGAAGGTTTACAGCAATCGCATAGATTAGACCCATGAATATCTGACACTCCCCACCCCCGCGCCCCCCTACATTGCTTTCACCACAAGTTAGGACACAATTGACGTCCTTCATTACTTCTTGTGAAGACGTATTTGTGTGTTACCCCCAGTCAAAGAAAAAGCCGTGGTCCACTTTTACATGCTGTCCGACATGAGTGAAGACAGTCGTCGATAAACAGATTAGAAACCATCTGACAACGGAAATGACCATCATAGAGGGAAGCTACTCAGAACCAGTTTTCTGCGAATGACTCTTGTCAGTGTGTCGAGGCCCGCAAGCCGTCACCATCTCCAGGAGACCGTCAGTCCATAAAGCGGAGTTCAACAATGCCCTTTTTAACGACCTGATCACGCTCTACTGGGTATTTGAATAAAAGCTGGCATCTCTCCCTCCTAAACACTCATACACACACCACCATTCCAGTCCACAAGAAACATGCCATTTTGGGCCTGAATGACTTGGTCTGTTATGTGTGCTCCGAAAGTCCTTTGAACAGTCTGTGTGCGACGAGCTGCAATGCGTGATGGAACGCCTGCGGCTTGCCGAGCGAGACAGGCAGGTTGCCGGATGATGCAGTCAACAAACTTGGTTTGAGAAAACCTCAGCGGTACTCGGATCCTGTGTGTGTACTCTGGAGTTAACACTGCTTTTTCTCTCTCTCCACGAATGTCTGCATATCAGCGCGTCTCGCTCCCTCACGCTTCTGAAGGTTGCGAATCAGTGACAGCGAATGTGCATCTTGACAAGACGTAGGTAGAGCGGCTGATGCCCTGGAGCGGAACATGCTCAAGACTGCAGATAGGTTTGTGGACTTCGGGGTAACAACGTTCCACGCAGCTCCCACTTACACTGCCCAACTGACCTGTGTCTCACCGTCGGGACCTTTCCGTTTCTGGTAGTCGCAATTTTGGACCAGCATTCTATGCTGAATTTTTTTAGACCTTGTTTTGTTTCCTGAATGGAAGAATTGTTTCAGCTAGCATCCTTGAAACAATTCTGTTGAACATTTGAGGTTCTTCTTGTTTCACTGAAACTCATTCAGTACCATCCGATTCTGGAC